TATATATATAGAGAGAGAGAGAGAGAGAGAGAGAGTGAGAGAGAGAGACATACACACACACACAGACACTGCAACAGTAAGGTGATGGCTTGAGGGGAAGGGGGTGGGGGAAGTGAAAGAAGGCAAAGGGCAGATGAACGGGGATGGAAAGAGACCTGCCTTGGGCAGTGAGCACATGATGCAACATGCAGAGGAAGTTTTGTTGAGCTGTACAGTTGAAAGCTACATTGCCTTATTAACCAATATCACTCCAATAAATTCAGTTAAAAAACACACACACACAAATATGGTCCAGGAGTAAATTCAGCATAAAATAAATGCTAATGAAAGTAAAAAAGAAAAAAGCCCCAAACCTAGGAATTCAACTATATAGTGACTGTACATGCCAAATTACCTGTTATCCCATCTGATTTATCCCAAATTGTCTGTTATCCCATCTGATTTAGCACTTATCCCAAACAAATAATTTACACAGTGTGTGAGATACCCATGTGCAGTGAATGGCGTGCTTACTTTAACCTGTGATTAATGAAAGATAACCAGAGACCCTTTCAGTCAAAGCAGCATATCCCTGTGAACTCTGCCAGCTGCTCGACATTCCAGCCAGCGAAGCCAGAGCCTCTGTCTTGGCCTATGAGATTCATGAAGCGGTCTGACTGCATGTCAGTGGGATCAGTGGGAAACATGGAAAATTATAGGTTATGCTATATGTACATGACATAGTGTGGGAAAGAGATGCTGAGTAGTCTTGCTGAGAGTAGCTTGAATTCTCTTACAACATTGGTTTTGTTATTTATTACATAATGTAAATATATAACCATTTTACTGTTTGTTATCAGTTTTTTATTTGCTAGTAAATCCCTTTAGCTGTAAAGAGTTAAAAAATGGTATGTTTGATGTAAAATTAAGTAGAGTTTCTCAAGAAAGTTGATGGATATGATACTTGCAAAGTTAATTGGCATTGACCCCCCCTCATGGGAACCATCACAATGTCAATGTCCCACATGAAAATCAAAAGACATAAATCTGCTGTAGAACCTCAGGATCTACTTCCAAAGTCTGTGCTTATTTTGAAAAGAGTGCATCCAAAGACAGTGCTTTACCTTGTGCAGCTACAGAAGGTCCACTTTCAACATTATGTGGGTATGACTTGACTTTTCATTTAGATCAAATGAGGTTCCTTCGAGTTATACTTTTTTATTATAATTTTTTTAATAATCAAAAGAAACCTCTAATGTGTTGGCTCCCGTAGCACAAAAGAACTTTGTAAACAGTTAAATGAGGCCAGTTTTACATCAGTGTCTTCAGATGCTTCAAACAGAAAATCAGAGTAAGTTAATTATAATAATGACTTGGTTTTTTTGGTTTGATTCTTCATGGAATCAGAGCAAAGCCTTTGGATATTCAATCTTGGAAGATAAAACCTCTGACACTAAAATGAATATTAGTATAAATTCAGTTTACAAATTAAACAATTGAATGTAAATTTTTTGGTTTTGTAGTGATAGCATAAATGCAAATTTGGTGGAGCACAACATCTGAGTAAAGATAACTTTCTTAGTTAATTGAGAAATTTAAAGAGAAATGCACTTAAAATTGTTTGATTATACCCAAACAAGCTATGATATTTTATTAATTAAAATAAGAGCTGTAGCTGTGCAAAGTTGAGTATTTTTATGTATTCACAGAAAAATTGAACTGCAAAATTTTTACAATGACATGGATGCTTAATGAAATAAATTCTTCAGCATAGTAGTATATGTAGTCTTTCTACACATCACCAACCAGAATTTTAAAAATGCTTGAGCCCTTGAAGAACTATTTCGTATATCAAACAATGCGTCCTACAATGATACTGAAACTTTTTTTGGTAAATGAGCCATCTAATTTTTGGTTGACTTTTTTTCAAAGTAGTTGAAAATTTTTTTTAAAGTATCTGAAATATGGAATGCCAAAGAACTTTAGTTTTTGAAGATTTAGTAAATAGCAAACAAGAAGACATTGAAATTTACCTGTATAAAAGCAAGGGAATAATTTAACATATTATATAATGAGAGTTCAAAATGTGTATAAGATTTAAGTTTAAATTATATAATCATGCTTTAGAATATCTCAATGTATATTTTGACGGTGCTTCTATTTTTAACTAAGTAAAATTTTCTTCTCTACCAGAATTAAATGATATCAAGAAGGCTTAAGATTTTGTAGCATCTAAATTTAGTAATACATCCAAAAGAATCATAAATAGAAAAAAATGTGAAGTTGAAAAGACAGTCCCTATGAAAATATTTGGGTCACAATATTAGCTTATTTCAACACAAAAAAACTGAAACTGAGAACATCCTCCATTCAGTAAAACTGGCTGTGAGCATAACAGGTACCTCAGCACCTATAGATATTTTCTCAATTAAAAAAAACAGGGTCATAAAAGACGGATTAAAGGTGTTAACAAGTTCAAATTGATTAACCATAAAATACAGTTTTAAAAGAGACTGTAGATAATTTTGAGAAAAGTTAAGAAGACTATTTTAATAAAATAGTTCTTAAAAGAATAAAAAATTCATTAGAAAAATACAGGGGTATGTAATGAAGATAGATATGGGTAAGAAACTGATTAAAGTATGTGACTATGTATCCAAAATTATATTCTGCTTATGTTATCTTTTAACATTTTGGTAATAAAGTAGTTTGTTTTTTTTTAAAAAAGTTGGTTTAATGTACATAGGCATGTTATTTTAATATTTTAAATAGTTTCATTTTTAAAGTAGTTTGTAACAGAATTATTTTATAGGCCTACAAAAATGGTAATGTTAATTTATTGATCAATAAATAAAGATTTCAAATAAATATATAACTTTAGTTATTCTAGTGCTCCCTTTCATTCTCAAAAGTGCACCAGTTCAGACAGTAAATTATGTGTTCACCCTAATTTTAGATGAATCAACAAGTTTCTTAAAACACTGACTTTTTATAATGGTAAACTGGAAGGAACCAGGGCACTGATTATTTCATGTGTCTGACAGGTATGTGATGGAGGTGTCCACAGGTAGGGAAAGTTAGAACAAAAAGGAAGCCAACAAAGAAGGAAAGAAGGAGGAATCATAAATATCTTCTCACACATAAAAACCAAAGTTTCTACAAAGAGATAAAAAGTGTTAAGCTAATGTATGGATCTTACCTGCAAATGCACTAGGAAGATCACTGGAAATTGGATTCTGAAACTTGATGAACTTATCTGTCCACCATGTAATTCCATTCGCTAGCATTGGGACTTCCACATATATAGATGAATTAAGGTTGTACAAAAGAATGATGGTATCTGTAAAGAAATTAAAAATTGTGTTAGAGATGCAAGCAAGCATTTTTGCCACCCTCTGATATGCAAAGCTAGAAATGAAAAATAAACCAGGGTTATAGCAGGCTCTCAACATGCCTACCTCCCATAGATGCTGGAATTACAATACTATTTTTATATGAAATTTCTTGCCAAGGCCCAATTATTGAAAAATACTCTTAAGCACCATTGAACTCATGTCCCTAACTACTCTGACACTCTAGTAAGAAAGAACTTACTTGCAAATGAGATACTGTAAGTCAGTGGATAATGAATACAAAATTAAAAAAAAAAAAAATACGGCCCCTCTGCTGCAGAAATGATCTTCTGAACATTTAGGTTACACACTTATGAAAGGGCACAGCATGGAGATAGAAAAAAATCCACCTACCATTGAACATGCTGTTGGCAATAGCTCCACAAGGACAGATGGGGGTTCCATTGTGGGTCTTTCTAAATGAATTGCATTCTCCAACATCCTGGATACAAGAGGATACATGATTGAAAAGTGCTTTTGCTAAACTTCCTTGAAATGTTGAAAGTGAGAACACTGGCAACGTAAATTTCCCCACACTGATTTATTGGCACGGACCAAGATTATGGACTACTAACTGATTTTCTCCAGGCTTCCAGCTTACTTAGACTAGAAAATCTTTGTGTTTTGGAGGGTGTGTGTGCGCGCGTGCACACACACGCAGTTTTTTTCCTCATTAACAATACATAGCATGCCAAATATGTCTGTAGGAAGGAACTGTACCTTGCTGGCTGTGCTAAGTATCACCCTAAGTCTACACTGGAATACATTTTAAAACCTGCTTTTATTGAAGTGCAATTTATATTCCAAAAAGTATAAAACTCATGAGCCTATAGTGAGATGACTTATCTACCTAAACCAGAATATAGTTTTAAAAGAATGGTTGCTAAAAATAATTTATCACTCTTATATAATAATGTCAGTATAGAAAAAAGGTTTCCTCCTTGCTTTTCTTGCTAATATGCTAAACATCATCTATCAAGAATAAAATTTTACATTCCTAGGTCTGCAAGGGTATCCAATTAAACCAAAGGGTTTTATTCAAGTGGAGCCCAACTTCCTTAAATTTGGCTGGACTGAAGGCCCCAATTATAGGAAAGACAATGCTAGATACAGTGTGAGCCAGATTAAGACAAATCTCTCAGTTACTATCAACATGGTTGGTGATTCCATCAACTAAAACGGGCAACTTTAAAGATAACTACAGAAATTATGTGTGAAGAAATAATACTGAAATCTAATTAATGTGTCAGTCTAGTATGCCATCAACTTTAACAAACAAACTCCTGAACTGTGTTGAAAAGTACTTGAAGATTTGCCCTTCTGACATATTCAGTATTACCAAGATTTGAACAATCCAATATGTATCCAATTTTAATATAAAATTCTGTAAAATAAAGAAAATGGTTGGTGCATGAAAGGATAGGCATTTAATCAGACAAGATTCTCATAACTGCTCTGAAGAGGGAAAGTTCTCCTTTTCTTAACAGCAGCTATCTTGAATACCCAGCCCCTTCAACTTTCACAAGAATGAAATGGACAGTTCTGTTCTGTAAAACCTTGGCTCTTTTATATATGTATATATATCTTTATTGATTTCAGAGAGGGGAAGGGAGAGGGAGAGAGAAACATCAATGATGAGAGAATCACTGATCAGCTGCCTAGCCCGCAACCCGGGCATGGGCCCTGACGGAGAATTGAACTGCAGTCTCCTGTATCCTAGGTCAGTGCTCAACTGCTGAGCCATACCCGGCTGGGCAAAACCTTAGCTTTTGAATCTGTTTTCCATACTCTTAGACTGAAAGATCCATCTGGTTTAAAAAAAAAAAAAGAGTATTATGCCAAAGTAAAGCCTTACCTTTATATTTCTACCCATCAGTTGGCTGTTACTTCTGGAGAGAATATATCGATAAAGGTTCTGATGGAAACCATACAATTTGTAGTACATATAAACATTACCCTGTAAAGGAGAAAAGCGAAAAGTAAGATGAGAGTAAGAAAAATAAACTGGAATATTAATAAACATAGGCAGGATTTTCAAAATATAAAAAGTCATAAAGAAAAATATGATGGGAACTGAAAAGTTTATGTCAAATAGAAACTCAAGAAATCCCTTTTAAGAATCAATGTTGGAGCCCTGGCAGAGCGGCTCAGTTGGTTGGAGCACCATTCCATGCACCAGAAGACTGCGGGTTCGATTCCCGGGCAGGGCACAGACCTAGGTTTTGGGTTCAATCCCCAGTTGGGGTGTGTACAGGAGGCAACTGATCAATGTTTCTCTCTCACATTGACCTTTCTCTCTCTCTGCCTCCTCCCCCTTTTTAAAATCAATAAACATAGCCTTGGGTGAGGATTTAAAAAAAAAAGTGTTGCTTGCCTGAATTAAAAAAAAAGTCAGTGTTGGAAAATCCTGGTCTATAAAGAATTATTAGAATGACTAAATAACTTATTTTTAATACTTTTATAAGGGCTACTGCATTCCTGCCTTGAAAATGTTTTATAATCAGGCTTTGTATTCTCAATATATAAAATTTGATTTTACAAATATTATTTCCCAGCAATACTAGGAAAAATATTTTCCTAAGGGTTGTGGTAGGTAGGCATCAAAGTCATGTGATTTCAAAGCAAACCCATGAAGCATAATTTAAAATCGGAGCCACTGAGCATATTCAGGCGTGTGCGCATTGGGCATGTGAAAGGCATGAGACTGGCTCTTTGTGGTCCAGCTCCCAGTGTTTCTGTCTTTTTATCCCTAGTATCTAGCACAGTACCTGGCATATAGTACTTGCTCAAGAAATGGCGAACCACTTGTATGGACAAAAAGATGGAATAATTCGCTGATCCAAAAAAAGGTGATTTTCCCCTTAGCTATAAGCAGCCTGGTTGCCGTAAGAGGCAAGCCTTTTCACGTATACTGCTGTAGGAGAATGCCCAGCCACAGGCTACTCTCATGCTTCTACCTTCACGGTAGCATACCACGGCCCTGGAAATTCTCTACGCAGACTTGACAAAGATTTTACTATCGGCATATATAATGCAAATAGAAATGGCCAATGTAGCTGTTTATAATTAATATATGAGCTACCTCCAAAATAATAAGGCCTGCATCCAAAACTGTATGACAGCTTAACATTTATTTAAAGTGCCTCCCACATGTTACATGCTCTATTCAGTGCCAGAACTACTAAAGTATTCCTTTACAGTTCCCTGAGTCAATTGATTTTCTTACTCTGCAAGAACAGCATTTGGAAAGGCTTTTGGCCCCACCCTAAAGACCTTCAAGAGGTTAAGTATGGAAAACAGGGGCTGGTACCCAGGGCAGGTTGGAAATAAAGGTCATGGTAAGTGTGGCCAGTTACAGAAAACAACTGGCGAGCTTCATCACTTTTAAGAAGAAAATCTTGAGAACACCAAGAAGGGGAGATGCTGGGCTGCAACAGGGGCACGCTGCAACATAGTAAACAGAGAGCATGGACGTGAAGTTGAATAAGCCAGGAGTAGCAGGAATGACTGATTACATTTCCTCACCCAAAGGGGAAACCTCTATTGTTGACCCTGAACTACAGAAAATATGAAATCCACAGAAAGGAATTTACCATACATTTTCTTGGAAGCTAAAAAGAGAATCCTACTTACCCAAAGCTATATATTCATATAGATGATAAAATAAACAGGCAGAGAACACACCACACTAGGGACAGGAGTGTTTTCATAACCTTTTTTTAATGATTCTTTGTCCAAGTTTTAGCTTAACAAGGCCTCAAAGATTGTCACCTTTTTGATTAGTCCTGGAGGCACATACTTTATGGAGTTTCTTCTATTTACACCAGTGGCTCTCAGTGCAGGATTCTGAGGTTAAGGCGAAGTCTCATGTGGACTCATTGCCAAGCGCCCGTCCTGTGTGCTAACTGGTGAGAAGGCCCTGTGATTGCCCTAAGCAGTTGGTTGGGTTTTTACGGGAAAGCCATTGCCTGAAAGGAATGGTTAGCAGCTGGTAACAGTTCATTTGCCTTTGGGGTTTCAAAGGATACAGACAGATGGGAACTGAAGCCCTTTAAAGGTTTTATCCTTTGGATCTTTTTCTTCAAAACTTTGAATACTCTGAGCCCCAAAGAAGGAACAACCCTGCTTGACATACTGATTTCAGTCTTCTGACTTCCAGAGCTGTGAGAGAATAAATTTCTGTTGTTTTAAGCCTCCCCTCCAAATTAAGCAACGTGAACTTTTACTTTGGGGGGCAGCATGGGGAGCTGAGGAAGGCTCTTGCTGTGGAGAACTAGAATTTTGACCTACAGTAAAAGGACACACATTTGTAAAACTTCCCCATGGCTTTATATAGATTTCAGTTATAACCCAAGTACAACTCAGTAATTTCCTTGCAATTTATGCCTGATTTACAAAAGTGATTAGAGCTACCCATAATCAATACAGATGAGTTCAGAATATTACTGATACCAACATGCTTTCTTCTGGGATCAAGGGGGAAAATAAGAAAGAGACACATAAAACCAAAGCCTCCTAGAACATAACGCCATATAATTTAGCACTTTATTTTTCTTCCATTCATTTAATATTCTAGGGAACATTTTCTGAGCATCTGCCATGTGAAACACACTGTGCTATGCACCATGGAGGAAATGAAGATTCATGCGATCATTCAGTAAACATTAATCGAGCACCTACAGTGTGCCAGGCCTTGTTACCAGTGCTTGGGATACAACAGTGAAAGACAACAAACCCTACATCTGTATAATAAACTGTTAATTTCTATAATATATTAGAAGGCGCTAAAAGCACTATGGAAAACATTGAACTTACAGCACGGTAACAAGGATCAGGAGTGCAGGGGTGGAGTGAGCAGACAAGCTGCAGGATGAGACAGGCTGGCCAGCGTAGGCCTTACTGAGGTGAGAACTGAGCCAAGACCTGAAGGAAGCAGGGAAGTAGTCAAGCGGATATCTGGTAAGAGAGCGAGGCAAGACCATATCCAATTTGTTTGAGGAATGAGGAGTCCAGTGTGGCTGGTGTAGGGGTGCATGGAAGAGAATGGAGAGATCGGGTCGCAGGGGAAACAGGAATCCAGATCATGTAGGGCCTTGTAAAGCCTTACGCCTTTTCACGTAGTGGAAACAGGAGCCATTGCAGGGATTTTTAAGCAAAGGAATAATTTCCTCAAATGACTTCTGCTTTAAAAGCTTACTCTAGCCCGGCCCGGCATGGCTCAGTGGTTGAGCGTCGACCTAGGATCCAGGCGATCGGGGTTCGATTCCTGGTCAGGGCACATGGCCAGGTCGTGGGCTGGATCAATGACTCTCTCATCATTGATGTTTCTGTCTCTCTCTCTCCCTCTCCTGTCCTCTCTCTGTAAATAAAATAAAATAAAAGCTTACTCTAGCCTGGCTGGCGTAGCTCAGTGGTTGAATGTCGACCTATGAACCAGGAGGTCACAGTTCGATTCCCAGTCAGGGCACATGCCCGGGTTGTGGGCTCAATCCCCAAGAGGGGGTGTGCAGGAGGCAGCACATCAGTGGCTCTTAACATTGATGTTTCTATCTCTCTTTCTCCCTCTCCATTCCTCTCTCTGAAATCAATAAAAACATATTTTAAAAAAATAAAATAAGAAGCTTACTCTAGCTGCTCTGTTGCGACACCGATATAAGCAGGGAGACCTGTTAGGAGGCTGTTGCAGAAATTCAAGGGAGAGTTGAATGTGGCATGGAGCTAGGTAGCAGTAGCAGAGGGGAGGAGTGGGAAGACTCTGAATACATTTTGAAGGTAGAGCAAGCAGGATGGACTGGATGTGAGATGTTAGAGAATGGGAGGAGTTAAGAATGACTTCTGGGCCTTTGGCTTGGGAACCAGAAGGATGGAGCTGCTATCAGCTGAGGCTGAGGTCTGTGGGTGGAATGGGGTGTTTTCTGGTGGGGAGAAGTGGGTGTCAGGAGTTCAGTGTTGGAAATGTTGAGCTTCATATATCTGTCAGTCATCCAAATTTTGACACCAGGAAGGCAACTGGAAATACAAGAAAGGATAGTGGAAGAGAGGTTTGGGCTAGGGATATAAGCGTTGGAAATGGATGGCATTTAAAGCCCAGAGGTTGATGACATTTCCAAGGAAGTGAGTGCTTATTAGAGAGGAGAAGAAGACTGGGGACTAAGACTACAACCCTGCAGATCTCAATACAGAGATTGAGGAAAAGAGGAGGAACAGCAAAGAAACCAAAGAAGGGCAGCCAGAGAGCCAGGAGGAATTCCAAGAGAGCGGTGTCCTGGAAGCCAAGAGAAGAAAGTATGTCAGGGGTGAGGGAGTGACCCACCACCTGTGTCTGGCGGGCTGACGAGGCGCGGAGGACTCACTGCTGGGCTTATCCACATGCAAGTCATTGGTAGTCTTGCAAGTTCACTGAGCCTTCTGAAACTTTCTTAAGAATGCACTTCTAAGACCCTAGCTTTCTTCTTTTTCTCCCTCTCTCCCTCTCCCCTTCCCACCTCTTCCCTTCCCTCTCCTCTATGGGGGCCGGGGCGAGCTGTGTTGTGGTCTGACGGCTCTCTCAGTCTCCTCCAGCTCCCTCCCCACTTTTCCTTACAGGCAGTTCCTCCAATAAATCTCTTGCATGTCTAATCCTGTCTTGGCATCTGCTTCTCAGAGGACCTGGACTAACACGCACAACTTTAATCAGCCCAAGAGCAGGGACTCCCTTAATATTTCTTTGACATTTCTCACAGTGCCTGACAACCAGGCCAAGACTTGACTTAGGGATTAGGTAACTGCATATGTAGAATGACTTGGGGGGACCCAAGAAGAATCCCATCAGGTGTGTGACCCCTGACACTAACTCACTGTGTGACCTTGGTCAAGTAACTTAACCTCTTAGCTCATTAATTTTCTTACTCTAAAATGAGTGGTTAGATTCTGTGATCTCTACGATCCCCTCTTGTGCTGACATAGGATTGATGTTAAGAATTATGTTACAAAGTTGGGTAGGTAAAGAATCTGGAAACTTAGAAACAAAAGAGAACAAAATTCCAAAGGGTAAAAAGGGGGAGGAGTCGCACATGAACTCAAAACGCTGTAAGACTCCCCTCAGCCCTACCTTGCCTTATTTTTTGTATTCAGTTTTGGGAAGCATTAGGTGGAAATCATGAAATAGGAGGAGATCAGCATATAGCTGATTGAAGGCACTTGAATTTCACTTACTTGCATTTTCTCTGGCAGGAAGAAAGGAATGGTGCAGGTGCATCCTTTGTTAAAATTAATGGCATGTTCCCGCAGTTTTGCACAATTTGCACATGTATATGTGTAATTAATCTGTCAGGTAGGGAAAAGAACAATTAAGAAGACTTGACTTTGGGTGATGGATACAATGCAATATACAGAAGGTGTATCATAGACCCGCACACTTGAAACCTATATAATCTTATTAATCAATGTCACATCAATAAGTTTAATTAAAAAAAAAATTACTTGCGTATGTATCTAAATTCAAGCCCTGAGTCCACCAGTCTTCAGGCTGCCTGGGTCAAGGGCATGTGGTGTGGCCACGAGTAAAGGGCAGCCCACTGTTCAGGACCAATGTTCCTGCGGTGGTCGGAGGAGTGGGCCTTCATGCAGCCTTTCATTTTGGGATCTGTGGCATCTTGCCACTGACCAGTGTTTTTATTGCATATTTATGTAACCTGTTGCGACGAAGCCTTATGCCTGGATCATAAAGAGGTGTCATTAGGAAAGTATTAGTCAAGGTCTCCTAAGAAGTGGGCCTACGGCTTGGGTCTAATCAGCTTTATGGGGAAGTCACTATACTGTTTTTCCATTTTATTGTATGGAAAATATTTATATTAATGAATTCTTCTACACGGCATCTAGAGGACATTATTAAAAAAATCATCAAACAGGAGACATATCAAGATGGCGACGTAGGTAACAGCTGCACCCGCCACCTCCCACAACCACATCAAAATTACAACTCAAATACAGAACCACCATCACTCAGAGCCTCCTGAAACCTGGCTGCACAGAAGCCCCCCAACCAGGGAGCTGAAGAAGCACCGAGAGCGGGAGGAGGGGCGGAGATGCGGGTGGATCGCGGCTGAATCGCGGAGACGTGGCCGCGGGCCCACACCCGGGGCTGCCATTTAAACCCGGGAGGAAATCTCGGCGGTGGGGGTTTCCCGGAGGAGTGAGGGGACCAGCCCCACAGCAGGCCCCCAGCCCAGGGCTCCAGGGCCAGGAAGAGACGTCCCCACAACTCCGGGCTGTGAAACCAGCGGGGACTGTGGCTGAGGGTCGCGGAGGCTGCGGGAGCCCCAGCAGCTCCTCTAAAGGGCCCAGCACGGACTCACTCGGACGCTCCCTCTGAGCCCAGCGCCGGGCAGCAGCCTGACAGGACCCGGGACACTCGGGGAGGAACTAACCTGCCTGAGATCCGGGCGAGAGCTGGAGGGGCGGCTTCCTCCCAGGC